ACACGCAGGCTTTAAGGCACAAGCATACTATAAATGAACAGCAATGTAAGCAACCAGCGGGGCGCCCTTTCGATGAAAGGAATGATCGGTGCATTAACATCAACTGAAAGTCATTGACCTATTATATTTACACTCCACTGGAATGGAACAATAAATCCTGAGAGATGCAAAAACTTAGACGGTTTAGATATAGTGATGTATAGATTGATTCTCTATTCCGCTGTCGTGGTTGTACACTCTAGAATTTCAAAGGTGTGGAAATAATGCGCACGGCTATTGAACGGAAACCTCACCTGTTTACAATGGCGTCTTAGAAGACGGACTTTCCAAAGATTCGATCTAAACGAAACTAATGGAAAAAAAAAGTAAATAAACTACAGTGACTTCAGGCTCCTCAATAGAACTGTGCCCCCTTTAAATGATTCTGAACCACCATTAATTTTGTCAAATTCGAAAGTTAAGTAAGTGGTTCCGAAGTTTTAGGCGGCCAAAGTGACGAACTTTCACACATATAATATGTAAAGATAATAAGCTTAAGCTAGATACATACTCAATGTTATTTTGATGCATGCTCTTAGGTCATATGAATACTTTTAACAAGATGGTTAAGATGGAAGAATTTTGATGGATGATGGTAAAAATTACCTTCTGTCTTTCTTTGTTACAGATCAGAAGCCAAGGTCTTTTACTTCTGACTGATGTTGTTACTTGAGGGGGAACATGGGAAGTTTGTTGTCTAAAAAGATGGAATACATTTTTTGTAGTGCAAGCTGTTATGTACAATCCATCCAAGTAGGAGAAAGTAGATGTTGAATTGTACATGCTTTCCGTATTAATCGATTACATTTTTCTTTATCTTATAAAATTGTCTTTTGTTCCCGGCCCATGCTGTCATACAAAAATTTATCATACTTTCTAAGGTTGAATGATAGAATATGGGCATCAATGTTTTATCAAATTTAAAATACATGAGCTTCCTTAGAAAAAATAGTCTTATGTTTACTTTTTTCTGTAGGACAGAAGTGTGGACACGCCTGTTGAGTTTGTTGTCTATTGTAACAGCCAAATACTTATAATCTGACACTTGCTAGATGTTTTCACATTATATTCGAGTGGCTACAGGGGCAGTTTCTTTTTTCTATAGTCAACAACGAGTTCTTTGGGTTATTTTCACATTTAAAAGCAGCTTATGATTTTCACACCATTCAGAAAAGTCAAGTACAAAATTCCGGTACGCGGTTTCGTTATCGTCAGCCTGAATTAGCCCATAGGCAAATTTGATCAACTTGATGTTACTGTTGTTTATTTGGCAATCGCTCGTGTATAGAATGAATAAAACTGGTGATAAAACACATCCTCGAGGGGCCTCTGAATTTGTTGTGATGTATGTCGATTAGGAATTTTTAAATTTTACATACTGGGTTCGGTTGGTAAGAAAATTGCCTATCCAAGAGATTAAATTGACGTTAACACCTATGTTTTCTAATTTCTTTAAAATTATAGCTGGCTGGATAGTATTAAAGGCTGACGAAAAATCAGCAAACAGGATCCTACAGTATGTTTTTGGGTTGTCTAAGTGTCTATATATGTTGTCAAGAAATAGTAGAATGGCGTCTTCCACCCTTCTCCCATGACGATATGCGAATTGTAAGACTTTGGTGTGGCCTATTATTTGCTAAAATAAGGTATGCTCTACTGCAACTAACAAACAATGTAAACAATTTGTCTTTGGGCAAAGCAGGCAATTTTTGTTTGTTTAGTTTAATCTTCAACTCATAGGCCAATGAATGAATGATGATGATGATGATGATGATGATGATGATGATGATGATGATGATGATGATGATGATGATGATGATGATGATGATGATGATGATGATA